AAGGCTTCTTTCCATCCAACACCCACTCTTCTTCCAGGGCCCAACTCGAATGCCACCACCTCTGTGATTTCTCACAGCACGTCCCCGTACAACTTTATTCCACCACCGACTATATTGCATCAAAGTGTGAGTGCATCTCCCTCTTTCCCACCAGACCACAGGCTGCCGGAAAGACGGGGCAGCCTCGTTTGCTGTGTGGCCCCGAACGCAGCCTGCGTGGTCAGACGGGTCGCAGGGAAGCCTATGGCAAGCTAGGTTTTCTGGGATGTTAACAGAGCAAAGCGCATGAGCAGGAGAGACGGGAGAAGAGCAGCTGGGAAGCGCTTCAACCAGAGCCACACAATCAAAGCTCCCATCACAGAATCCAAGGGCTGAAAACTTTTGGCCAGCAAATTTTCCATGAAATCAAAAGGAAAAAGAAACCTGATTAACTCAGTTCTGTACGCAAAAAGCATGAGAGGCTAAACTGGGATACAAAACATCCGGAAGACCAAAATATCTTTAATAATGAAATAATTTATTATTTGTTAACAGCTGAACAATACAGAAGCTTACATATACACAGCAAAGATTCTCTGAAACATGAGTAGTTCTCAAAATGCACGTACTAACTGTAGTAAAAAGCACCATTCTCTATGTCTTGACACAGGATTTACATTGGCATCGTATTTACATAAAGAAATAAACATCTGGAAACAGAATTTCATACTCTCTCATCTGCTGCTCCCTGTTTGGGCTGTGTTCACCGTTAGGAAGATGGCCCCCAACGCTGACGGTTCACAGCAACATTCCCAGAGCACCAATTCTAAGGACAAGGGGTCAAGGCAAGCTTGGTTCTCTGGTAAAAGCTAAAATGAAGAAAGCCCTCTCAATCCTCCACACCCCCCAGACAGAATAAGAAATCAAAATTTAAAATCTGGGTAAATCTTTGAATCTAGTGCTTTACTAATTCTCATTTTATGATTTTGAGAGAAGACAAAGATACTCAACTTCTCCAGCCATTCGATAGCTGACTCTAACAGTGCCAGGCAGTTATTTCTTCTTTCAGAAGAACACAGGGTAAGAAAATCATCCATGTAATAAATATTAATGAAAAAATCATGATAAATCACATATCGTACCCCCCCAGCCCCGGCCTCATCCCCAGGTATTTTTGAAAACAAAACATCCCACAGTCTACAGAGACCTGATAGTGTAGAATGAGAAAACCCACCTCACCTAAAGGGGTCTTTGGGTCGTCTTCTGCCAGGAAGGATTTTTAAAATCAGGAGTAGCCAGCAACCTAAACAGACTGCATCCAAGAGTTAAACATAGAAAAATAATAGATTGACTTGTAGGAAATAGCCTTGCAGCCTTTGACTTTCTGGTGTTCAACACACAGGGCCGGTAAAGGGGAAAGACAAACTTGGGGAAACAAGAAGAAAGAAAGGAGTGAGATTCGGGGGAATAAAGCACAATGAAAGTGGTATCCTTGCCAATACAGTATGATATAAAAACCTGAATCATGTGTATGTGTATCCTTTTCAAAAATAAGTTTTTTCTTTAAAGGATGGGGGAGAGGCAAGAAGCAAGCCCACAAAATCCATTGTCAAGCCCCAAGATATTGTTAGTTATTTTGAGCATCACAATCTTACCTAGTTTACACACCCCAGGATTTGCTTTTGGCCACTTCAGGGACTGAGAAGAGAGGCTCCTAGGAAACCCAGGTAAGGGCCCTTTGTTTCTTTTGAAAAAAGTAGAGGTTAAAGGAGAATGCCCACCTTAAAAAAAAAACCCTCAAACCACTCAAGCGGCCGATTGCAGGGTCAGGGCCTTCTTAGTACTCAATTCTGAATCGACACTGAAATTATTTTCATTTTGGGTTGACAGGAAGAAAAATGTAGGTCCTGCTCAAAAAGGTGACACTGAATCACTAGCATTATATCTGTGACTAGAGAAAGGAGCCACGGTCGCTATCAGCACCTTGAATCCCAGATCTCTGCTTAGCAAAAGAAAACAAATATACCCTGGGTGCCTGCCCGCCATTCTAAGCCAACAGGCATGGAAAGCTAGGTTTTCTGGGATGTTAACAGAAGCACACATGTATTTTCTCACTGCATGAAATTAAACTGCACTACATACTCTTTACTTTCCCATTTGCATTGCAATGGTATCAATGAGTGTAGACTTGATTTTAGTTTCTTAAAACCAGTTTTCACATAAAAATATGCATGTGCCTATATTTACACACATCTATATTTACGTACAATAGTCAAAGTCTTAAAGGCTGGGGCTTATATCTTTGCCCGTCCCCTCCCCGCAAAAACCCTAATAGAAAGGTTTTTCATTTTGCTTAAAAAAACAAAACAACAACAACAACAAAACAGAACCAAAAAGACTGTATAGCTCTTAACACTTATGCTGGTGGATCAGTGAATGACACGACAGATTGGCGCATCAGGGCGGCTGATCAGCCACGTAGGGAAGGGGATTAGCTGCCTGGGGCTGAGTTTGCTGGTCCTGAAGGTTACAGTTTGGGTTAGAGAGAGGCCTGTCTAGTATTCGGTCTACCTCAAGATTTGAAAGTCATGTCTAACCCTGGTGTCAGTTTATCACAAGCGCATTAAAAATATAGAGATCTATTAAGTTCCACATTTATATGCCATCAAATTGAAAAGGACCAGACAAACAGTGCAAAGGTCAAATAATTACCATTTTATATTGGGACAGTACATTTCATATTTCAACCAAAAGACAAAAATGCAGTTTAACTCAAAGGCACAACAATTAAAACACAGAAAATAATGGCATCTCTCAGATGCCTTATTTCTAAATTAAACAAACAAATACACAAGTTTTGTTCCCTTCCCTCCCCCAATGCAAGCCCACAAGCTTTTGCCAAAGTCTTGAGTTTTCGATGCCGTACAGGATCTAGCATCGTGGACTTGTGAGGCGCTTGAATGTAGCAATTAAAATGCTTGCGAGGTCTAGCGAATGGCATTCGAAAGGGACCTCAAAGTGCAGGTATATCTTTTTCAAACATGTTACAGGCTGAGCTGGCTCTTTGAACACTATCACTCTGCTTAAATTCACGAAGCAGGCTTTAAAAATGCAAAAGGCATACAAGTTGTATTTCAGTGCAAATCTTCAGCTGGTAATTGGAAAAGATTCCAACAATAAAAAAAAAATCCTTTGTGTCACCTGCCCCTCCCCCCACCCAAACCTGAAATGGAGAGAAAAACAGAACAAAACAAAAACAGAAGAATTACAGATGACTTTGGAATCATTTAGGAATCACTACTTCCAATTAAAAAATTTTAATACATTAAGAAATCAATAAAAAGAAAAAATAAACACAAAAGTAATCTTTGTTTCGACTGTTCTTCACGTCCAGAATGAGCTTCCGTGAGGAGTGCGTTTGAACTTTTAGTCGTGGGCAAGGAAGAGGCGCTGAGGAGGTGAGTCTGGGGCCGGGGAGACCACAAGCCAGCGGGGGGCACAGGTGCCACCGCTACTGGTTCAGCCAGGGAGCCCTTAAGTTGCAGTGCGGCTGTGGATTTAGGAATGTTCTCATCACTTTGTGACACACGCTCTGTTTCAGCGTCACAGGTTTTACAAATGGTTCGAATTCAATGAAAAAGATTCACCAGAGGCTGAAAACATCGAGACCTCAAAACTATGAATGCAAAAGTATTAAGGGGAAATGAACTAATTTTGTAGATACCTACATACAAAGTTTCTAGAACATCTATAAAAGCACAGTCATAAGAATTTATTTTCCATTACATTAGTTTATATAAAATGAATAAATAGTATTTATAGATTTAATGTGTCTTATGTACATATACATGTGCTCTGTTTTAGCTTAAATAAAAATGCTACAAAGTGGGAGACCACTTAAGAGAGAAATCATAACCAAAAAGAAAAATTAACCTTTTAAACTATTAACCCAAAAGCCTCCATAAAGAAGTTTCTGGGTGTGTCCAAAAATAATCAATAAGGAGAGGAATTATAGTAACACTGTACCATCCCCTCCCATTCACCTGCAACAGAGAGTAGAAATGTAGACTTCTCCTTTCACTGATGATGGACACTAGCTCAGCTAGTGCCAAAGCTCAGTTATTGCTGCAAGTTAAACAGCAAAATAGATTAGAATTGGACCAAATGTCACTTATTTGGGGAAAAAAACAAAAAACAAAAACAAAACAAAAGAGGCATAATCAGTTTGTGTTAAGTGGGAAATGGAGATCTCATTTATCTCTGAGGTAGGAAAAAAAAATGTTCCAGAGACAAGGAGCATAACCGACTTGGAGGGGAAATGTGCCTTGCGAGAGCAGGACACAGCACAGCCCCAAGGACAGCACACAAAAATAGACTGTACCGTTCTGTTCGTGAGAACAAACGATGTTGGAATTTTTATAAGCTGTGCTACCCCAAAGACGTGCTCACAAGGGGTCCGTCTGATAGTGAGAAATACTGCAGCCATCCACACGCGGGTCGGGGGTGTTGGCGCAGGACGTGTGTGAAGGGTGTGTTTTCTGGAGGTATTCCTGCCTGCTCACAGGCGGTGAGGGCCATGGTTAAGCGCTCTTAAATCCCACTTTCAAAGCTTACTTTGGAGTTCTGAGATCAGGATCTCAACTTTAAAAGTTTGTTTCCTTAAGTTTCCTAAGCACAAGACACATTCGGACATTTCCGCTAGGCAAGTCACAGAGGAAGCCAGAAAACTTCAAGGAAGGTCTGGTAGACTACACGGGGACAGTAAATAAGAGGGGGAAATTGCCGAGATGTAAGTGCTTATCCCGTCTAAGAATTCTTGGGTGCTTCAAACTGATTGGAATGTACAGTCTGTCAGAGACGAATTTTTATGGAGAGAAAGAGAGAAGCTAGAGGATGCAGTCAGAAACCCACAATCCTGGTCGGCGTCCCCCAATTTCTTAGAGGGACGAGTGGCATTCACCCACCCCAGACTGAGCAGTAACGGGTCTGTGACGCCCTCAGGTGTCCAGGCTGCACTGACTGGCTCAGCGTGTGCCTACCCTACGCCAGCAGGCGCGGGGGCCCGCTCAACCCCATTCAAGATGGGGATCGTGGATAAAAGAAAAAGAAAAAGAAAAAGAAAGAAAGAAAAAAAAAAGAAACCCACACTCCTAAGCACTTCCTTGACAACTTTTGCACAGCTGCTTTTGGTGACGGTGGAACACGGAAGCTGACGTGCGAGGGAACTGTGGGCAGGTCCAATACGCTACCTAATCAGAGCCGACGGGCGGGACCATCCGGGCGGCAGCCGAAGCGACCACGCTCTCCTAGAGCCCAAGACGCGTCTTGTGACCGTCCTGGAGCTTTCTTCTCTTGATGCTGGAGCTGGAGTAGCCCTCATCACTGCCCAGGCTCTGCATGCTTCCCCGCTCGTCCGAGTCGCTCACGCTGCTGCTGCTCCAGTCCAGGTCGCCCGTGAGATCGTCTGTGCTTTCGACGTCCACGTCGATCTCTTCTGTGGGGAGGACGAGACAGAGCGTGGTGAAGGCCTGCTTCGGAAGGGCCAAGAGACTCGGCCGGGCCCCTCCTTGGCCGCGGTGCCTAACCGCTGCAGGACAGGACGCCTGTTCCCGCAGGCCACGCCCCTCGACTTCTCCGAGTCACAGGGGTTCTCGGCTTCCCCTCGGCTCTGCCTCTGGCAGGCGGCAGGGGGCTGGGGAGGGGCCTGAGGATGCGGGCTCGGGGGGGGCTCACCCCTGTCAGAGTCGGAGCGCTCCGAGGAGACTGTGGAGCCGGTGCTGTCCGTCCGTATCCTCTCGATGCCCAGCTGCTCCAGCTGCCTCTTCAGGTGTCGCTGCTCTCGCTGAAGCTGGTCTATTTGGTGAATGGCTTTTCTGTCACAGTCTTCAAGTTTCTGCAGGTCAAAGCGGGTAGTTGTTGAAGGGCACAGGCAGATTTCAAAATTGGTAATGACCCTGCACCTCCCTGCCTTGCGGGGAAATACGGCAGTTTTCCTTAGAGGCCATTTGCTGTGTCCCTTGTCAAACTTCTCGCAGGGACAGGAAGCTGCCTGGCCGGTGACTCCTGTCTACATCTAACTTTTTCAGCATCGACAACACTTTGGAACCTGCACTGTCGCATGGCTTCCGGGGTGAGCTGACACTCTAGCGTCCAGCACCCCTCAACTGTGATAGTGGAAAGACTGGCAGGAACACCCAACCTGTTCTCCCTTGTCTGTGGTGACGCCCCAAACACCTACTCCCTGAGCTAGAGCACTGTGTGTGACGGGCGCTTAAGAAACAGACTTTCCTTTAGAAGTATGTTTATTCAAGTACGTGTCCCAATTATATAGGCGCTTTTTTTTGCGTCATGCCAAACCTCATTTAACTTCTGTCTGTTGGCAGGAATAATATTCCCTTTTGAAGTCCTGATTCTAAATTGTCCAAATAAGAGCTTAGAAAACACATTTCCATAGATCATTTTGTTTTTACAAATCTGTTCTCCAGCTTCTCAGATAATTCTTCAGATAATTCTGAAGATTGTGTAACTGTGGTTGTTTTGCTCTAAACAGAGGTTCTTTTCCCTCCTACAATTGCCATGTATGCAAGGCTATCAACCATAATTCAAGTGACACGTGTCCAGCTATGACTCTGACTATAAAAACATGCTAAACAGTGATTCTGGCTGTGGCTCTCAGGAGTTACCCTTTGCTATTCCAGCCATATACTGAGTGCTGACTCTGTTTCAGACCCTCCGGAGGTGCTAGAAATATAAGGTGAACACAAAGATCTGGTCCCCTCCCTTGTCCATACTCTAACAGCATGGACAGAGACAACCAAATAGTCACACAAGCCACGGTCAGGTGTCAACTGTGATAAGTGCTAGGAGAGAGAGACCCAGTAATAATAAGGACCATCTGTCGCAAGAAGGAGGTGACCTAGTCAGGGAAGGTTTCCCCACACGGTGATACCTGTGCTGAGGTCTGAAGGATGACAAGAAGTTAACTAGGTGAAGAAGGGAGGGGAAAGAGTACCAAGCAGAGGGAACAGCATGTACAAAGGCCCTGTGGTGAGAGAGCCTGACAAGTGCAAGGGACTGAAAGAAGGGCTGAGGCAGAGAGGGGAGCCTCTGGCACAAGCTGCTGCTGCAAAGGCAGGGGAGGGCCGGGTCGGGCAGGCCTGGTCATACAGTGTGTCCTGAGCCATGGAAGACTTTTGTTTTTTTTTTTTTTTTGGGGTACATGGCCTCTCACCGTTGTGGCCTCTCCTGCTGTGGAGCACAGGCTCCGGACGCGCAGGCTCAGTGGCCATGGCTCACAGGCCCAGCCGCTCTGCGGCATGTGGGATCTTCCTGGACCGGGGCACGAACCCGTGTCCCCTGCATCGGCAGGCGGACTCTCAACCACTGCGCCACCAGGGAAGCCCAACAGAAGACTTTTAAATGTGGTGACATGTTGATTTGAGCTCCGGCAGGATTGCTCTTGGGAAGCCTGGAGATTAGCTTGGAAGAGGCCTCTGAGGAGTTTACTACAGTACATGATGAACTTTATGGAAATACAGCAGGCTGTGACATATGTAAGTCTTGGAGACACGTGGCTAAGGAGCAAGATGATCAGCAGCAGCAAGGATGACCCTGAGTTTCTGGCCTGTACATGAGATGGACAGTTGGATGGACAATTTAACTTCTGGCACACAGGGGTGAGAACTACTCAGCTGGGCTCTGGACATGTTGAGTCTGTGAGTCATCCAAGACATTGACTTGGATGGAGTTGGAGGAGTTCAGAGGAGAGAACTGTCCTGGAGACAGACATCTGCTTTCCCTCATAACAACAAACAAACCCTCACTGGGCAGGTAAAGACAAAAAGGCATCCCAGGATGCACTTACCTTTATGTGCAATTTGGCTTTTGTTAATAAACTCAGTGTAGTGTGTCGATTTGATTCTGGACCAAGTGGCACCAGCCCCTTCAACTTTTCCAGGCATAAGCGAAGGTGGGCCCGTCTACAAAAACAAGATCACAGTAGCATTGGAGACTTTCAAAGCCAGAAGTCACCCGGGAGAACAAGCTCAAACAAAGTATGAAGTCGCCCAGCCCAGTGATGGCAAATGCCACCAGTGACTTCCAGCCAAGTGGACATCTTTTGAAATTATACAACTCTGGTAAAAACCAAGGAAAAGCAAAATCCATGGTTTTCTAAAGTTAAGTCTATAATATGTATGAAGGGGTAGAGACTCATATCTACTATTATTAAGCACATGAATCAGGTTATCTCCAGGTTTCTGGGTTATGATGTGACCTACAGAACATCCACGTTCAGAAAGTAATGACATGCGAGTGAGAGAATCCTTTGAACCCATACTGTTCTTTCCCCTTCCAGGACCACTAAATCACTACAACTATATCTTGCTGTATATAATATTTACCCATGTGAATGACAAATGTATATGGTTATTCATTACAATTTTATTTGTAATAGCAAAGATTAAAACAACCCAACTCATCATCAATAGGGAACTGATCAAATAAAGTATGGTATATCCATACAGTGGAGTACTATGCAGCTATGAAAGAGAATGAAAATGTACTCTATGTACTATGAGGAAAGAATGTTCAGATATACTGTTAAGTAAAGAAAAGCCAGATACCAAACTGTGCATATAACATGCTACATCTTTGGGTAAAAGTGGAGGAAAAATAATTATCTAAAGTCATGTTTTCTTGTATAACATAAAGAAAGCTTGGAATGATACATAAGAAACTAGTAACAGTGGCTGGGCAGAAAGGAGTCAGAGGCTAGTCGAACAGGGACAAGGAAAGGGGGGGAGTTTTTACTGAATAATTTGTTATACTTTTTCATCCTTCAACCATTCAAAAAGTTAGATGCATTTTTTAGAAACAAGAAAAATGCCCATCAGTGGTACTGCTATACTAACAAGCATGCTGACAGCTGGAGAGAACCACCAACAGGTCTTGCAGTGTGGCAGAATGTGGCAGAAGCACAAGAGTCCCTAAAATTTTGGAAATTAATACTTCACTGAAACCTTGGTTTAGGCTTTATCCTAGAGGCTAGCAGGTTCCGTGAATGTGAGAAACAGCCAAGATTCAGAGTTTTTGCTTCGGCCCACCACCTCCTTCAAGTCTTCACAGGCCATTCCAGTTCACAGTGCTTCCTCCATTTTCTGAGTACATATTAGTTTATCCTATTCATTGGGAAAGTCACTGTTCTGTCTGACTTTTTTGGTATTTGTGACTTAACCATTCATTGCCAACTCCTTAGAAAGATGGGGCCGCAACTTAACCATTGCTGGGTTGCCTTGGTGCCTTCCCCTCCCATCGGCTTAATGCATGCTTGCCGCGTGGTTGGTGTCATCTATTCCACTAGACTTCAAGCCTCTCGGGGCAGAGTCCATCTCTGCTATGTCTCTGCGCCTTCAGTAGTGCTCAGGGTCCTGGGGTTTTAGGTACATGTCCACTGCCCATCCCCACGGCAACCTGGAGAAGAGCTCCTGGGAGCCTGAGAGGCTATCCTCCAGCTGAATTGGAAGACAACTGGAAAGCTCAGTTTGTCCCTTTCCCCCCACTAAAAATTTCACCGTATTAACAAAGGTTGGGATCGAAAGAAGAAAACTGCTTCAGAAAGCTCAAATACAGGTCAGTATGCCTGATACTGACCAAGGCAGTCAACTGACACCCTTCACATCAAGACTTCAGGAGGTTCCCCCAAGGCAGATCCAACAAGTGGTTCTGAGCCCTCACCTCACCTGCTGCTGAGCCTCCTTCCTCTTCCGGCTCTTGAGGTTGTCCTAGACTCTCCAAGGTCCCCTAAGCCCTGGCAAGCTAGAGAAGTCCAGCATTCACTCCTGAGCTAGGAAGAGGTAGCGGTACAAGAGCCTTACTATTTTACAAGACTTCCACTTGCTCTGAAAACCTGCCCACGTGGAATGGCCACCAGCAAAGAGTCACATTAGAGGTTTGCTCCTCCAATTACTACATGAGGAGAAAAAAACAAAAACAGAATTTGTGTATAAAAGGTACTTGTTCACCTTGGATAATATTCTTCACAAAGAGCCATGAAAATAGATCATGTTATTAGAAACACCATGAAAATGTATGATTAGTCACATATAGTTATTCTCACTACAAAGTTTACAGACTGTCAAGTTTTTTAAAAAGTTCAAAAATTAAAATTAGATTTAGACATTTTTCAGCCTGCTCATTGCAAAGACTACATGATTCAGAACAGTGTCATATTAGTCCTTTTATGATGTGGGTTTATCTACAGATATGAGTATGTAAATTTTTAAGGAAGTTTGTCTGCTGATAAAAATAATAAAGTCATCTTTCCATGCATCGTCATTTCTAGTTACTCAGGGAGTCTGGCCCAGAAAGTACAATTTTCACGACCCAAATGTGGGTTTCCAAAGAACACTCCCATTTGTGAAACTTGAAATAAGCCCATTGACCACTTCAAGTTTAGGCTAAAACATGTTCATTCAGTGTTTTCTGACCTAGTTTTATTGAAATAGGAGCACAGTGCTTTCTGGATTCTCGTAGAGATTCAAAGCCAACTTGTATCTTTGGCAGTGCCTGCCTCACCGCTCCAGCCTGATGCCTGCCCTGCCCGCCTGCCGCCTACCTGCAGACACATCCCCGGGCTGGTGCCTGGGCCACCCTCAGGGGAGGGATGAGGTATGTGAAGCAGGCTCAGTTCCATGATATGACAGTGAAATTCAATTCCTGAACCAGACAAAAAAGCAAACAGACCCCTCTGTAGCAGCTCCCACTGAGGGGCCTCAAGCCTGAGACATGCCCCGCCCCCCTCTACCCCACGCCGGGATCCAGCCGTGAGCACCCATGGAGAGCCCAGGTCCCAAACAAGCAGAACAAGCTCCTGTCTCAGCTCTCTGTCCTCAGTCCCAACCACGCCCGTGCCCAGGGCTCTGGCCTTCTAGAAGGAGCCTGCTGTCCCACTGTGAACCAGGCCTAACCCCTCTTTCAGGAACTAGCAGGGGTTTTTGCTACATTTCCTCAACAGGAAGCCACCTGGTACCCGCATCTGACTCCTACTTGGATCCCCTCTCATCACATATTCAGACAGAGCTCCCCCTGTTGTCAAGAGCTGCCTCCCAGCTCCCCACTGGCAGCAGAGAAGGGTAGTCAAGTCCTGGCTCCCTCCTGCCCCAACTGCCTCGTCTCTTCACGCCGATCCAATGGACTTTGACAAACCTCACCTGCTGATTCTTCAGAAATATCACTCTCCTTACTCTGAATGCGCTGATATACCTTTGGTCTCCGGTAGAACACAGAAACCAATCTTTGAGCTACAGTCAGTGATGCTCAGAATCAAGTGCGGCCTATGATAATTAAACTAGATACAAACTAGAGCTTCTCTTCAGTAAGCTTTTTTTTTTGTTTTTTCTTTTTAGTATCTCAAATTTTATTTATTTTTGTTTTTAATTATTTTTATATTCTGAATCTCTCAGTCACTATACAACCAAATATTAGTGTAGTGATTAAGGGTAAAGGTTTGGGGTCCTGGCCTTGTCACTTATTTCCTGTGTAGCCTTGAGCAAATTACTTAACTCCATGTAGCATCCGTTTCTTTGGCAGTAGAGGGACGATGACAATGCCTCCCTGCCAGGGCTGTCATTGAGTATTAACTGAGATAGGGTATGGAAGCCCCTGACCAGGGTCTGACATGAAGTGCTCTGTATGTGGCAGCAGTCATTCTTTCAACTCTAGCTTCCTTTGAGGAAGGATAATTGCTGGGAGCAAACACAGATAATTATAACCCTATCATATTCCTTTCAAAATCAACAGGGAACTCAAGAGTATCTCACAGGGTAAATAGAGGCTATCTGGTAAAATCCAAATTCACTAAACTCTCCCTTAAAGAAAACTGACATCTTTTGTCATTAAAAGATTTAATGGAAAATCTAACCCATTTTCTATGGAAATAAAGATCTTGCTTATGCTAAAGGTATTATTTTTTTACGTTTAAAAATCAGCAAGGACTTTATAATGCTAACCCAGGCTAAAGGAAAGACTCCTTTGGAGCCACCCCCATCGTGTAGAGGCAGGGCTAGAAAGGACTCCAAGGTTGGGAGGGAAGCATCTGAAGCACACCGAGACCTCTGCCTACATCTCTCTACTGTGATGGCCAAAAGAAAATAAAAATTGGGGCAAATATGTATTGACCTTGGAAATCCAAGCACATCTCTGGATGTGTTATCTATACCCAGAGAACCTAAAATATCTCATGTACAATAGCAAGAAGAAAGGAAATCATGTCTAAGAACAAACTTAAAAGAGTTTGGGGGGCTTCCCTGGCGGCGCAGTGGTTGAGAGTCCGCCTGCCGATGCAGGGGACACAGGTTCGTGCCCCGGTCCGGGAGGATCCCACATGCCGCGGAGTGGCTGGGCCCGTAAGCCATGGCCGCTGAGCCTGCGCGTCCGGAGCCTGTGCTCCGCAACGGGAGAGGCCACAACAGTGAGAGGCCTGCATACCGCAAAAAAAAAAAAAAAAAAAAAAAGAGTTTGGGAAGGATCTCTGGGAAGAAAACTATAAAACTTTGCAGAGAGACATAAGAAAATCTGAATAAACGGAAAAAAAAGCACTTTCCTAGATATGAGCCCTCAAAGTAAAAATGTCAACGCTACCCAAGTTTGTCTACAAATTTAACATAATACCAAGAGAAAAAAATCCCAACCGTAATCTTTTTAATGCTGGGAAATTAGTCTAAACCTCACCTAGAAGAATAACTGTGTGAGAGACCTCCAAAATTTTTGAAAAAGAAGAATGAAGAGGATTGTTTGGTATCAGTTATTAAATTGTATTATAAAGCTGCAGTAATTAAAAACAGAATATACTAATACAGGAAAAGGTGGATAAGTCAAAGGAAGTGAAGAAAAAATTCCCAGGAACAGACTTTAGGAATAGATATGAATTTAGCATATAATGGAGCTAACACTGCAAATCCTTGGAGAAAGCCCAGATTAT